AGGCTGGATGGGGCCCTGAGCAGCTGAGCTGGGGGGTGGCAGCCCTGCCCACAGCAGAGGCTGGGGCTGGTTGGGCTTTAAGTCCCCACTCAAACCAAGTCATTCTGAAACTGGTGCATGAGCTGGGTTTTCGCAGATGCAGCTATGCCACGATTTGGTCACCCTGGCATGACCAATGCTTGTAGCTGCTATAGCTTATTGTGTCAAAAAGGTTAAACAACACTCGTTTCAATCAGTATAAATCTGAACTTAGAATGCAATACAACGGCACACATCCAACAACTTTACCTGAATGAGTAACTTCTGTCACCACTAAGTTGATTTCGTTGCCACTTGTTCCTAGGTCCTCACTGGAGGCCAGGACAAATCTCCCGCCCCCGGGCCTCTTCCTGAAGCAAGACCCCTATCCCCGCCCTTCTCCCGTGCCCGTCCGCCACAACCAACACCGCGCCGCCGGCGCGATGACCCCGCACGCCTCAATCCACCGCGGTGTGCTGCGCATGCGCCCGCGCAAGCGTCCCGACGTCTCGGCATTTGCGGCGTCTCCCCTTCACTCCTGCAGGTGCTCTGAGGGAGCGAGTGAGGCGTTACGGCTGTGGCGGGGCCGCCGTCCCCTGCCAGCGGTGAGTGAGGGGCTCGTCTGTCACCGGCGCGCTGCCCGCGGTTCGGCGGCCATGATGTGTGCGGTTGCCATGGGAACAGCCGGCGAGCGGAAGGGGAGCCGGCAGAGCAGCGCCTGTTGCCGGCGGCAGCCGCCCCCCGGTAACAACCCCAGAGTGCTGGTTTGGCAGGCGGGCTTCGGGTTCAGTCATCACCTGTGAGGACACTGGTGGCTACAGCACGGGCTTTCTCCTCGCTGGTGCGGTGAGGCAGTGTGTGCTGCCTGTAACCAGTGGGGCAAAGCTCGCCGCCATACCTCGTTTTCATCCTGCGTGGTTGTTTAGTAGGCTTTGGAAACATTTTTGGTCTTCCAGATCAGGTTGGTGTCTGCTGAAGATTATTTCTTTGCTGTGATGATTTGGTGCTTTTTTTAAGCCTGAAGCTGGTGCTGCTCTGAGACGCAGTGCTGAGCGTAGTGAGCGCCGAGAGCTCTGTGTGTATTTTAGTGGTTAAATGATCCCGTTTCTGAGATTTGAGCTACACGGAGCACGGCGCTGACTGCTGTCCTGGTGCACTCAGCCAGGCTTTGCTGATTGACACAGAGTGATGCTGTGAGGGTGCAGCTATCTCACTGCTAGTGATAGCTGGGTCTGATCTGGGGTTCTCTGATCCTGTGCTGTTATCTGCTGCTTTCAAATCTTTCTGTACAGTAAAGACAAGACCTCTGGAGGAAGCAAGTGAGAGGAAAAGGCCGAGTACAGCTTTTCAGAGGCTGATGAGAGACAGAGAGGAGCATCACCTGTGCAAGTTAAGGGCTACCTGGAAAATGGTGACAGCAGCAGGGACAAGATCTGCACATGCCAGTTATGTTGATCTTGAGTCTGCAACATTGCCTTTATGTGTACCTGCTGGACTAGCAAGCAAAATGGGAATGTTGCTGGATTTTCAAAAAAAGGCACAGATAACTAGAATTATTTCTGATTTTTACCTAAGGTATTGTATTTTAAAGAAAGGCATAAGTAGAGTTTTTGAAAAGTGTATATATAGAAAATCTTACCAATAAATAGAAAACCAACATTAAAAACAAAACAAAACCAACAAACCAACAACAAAACAAACAAGAGTAAAACTAGATGGCAATCTAGGCAGCTGATGCTGTCATCCTTCCTTCATCCTGTGTTACTGCTCTCTACTCATTGCTTCCCATACTACTTGGAAGGAAACTGGCATGATATAGCTAGCTTAGACTACTTGCTCAGAGCTTCTGGGGTTTGGGATGGGAGAGAGCAGGTGAAACTTCATCCTGCAGCGCTGCTGCAGCAGAGCAGCTGCTTGATACTTAACAGTTTCAGCCTTAGGCATGATAAAATAGGGAATAATAATCTTTCTGTTGGCCTTTTGAGAAAGAGACAGTGGTTGTATTGTCTGTGATGGCACACCATGTTGGCACAGCAGCCAAATTCAGATAAAGAATTTCCATGGTTCTTAATTGCTTGCAAGAAATAATAACCTTTCTTATCTTATCATGTATGTATACATCTAGTTTATGACATTGCTTACTTGTTTCCCTGTGCTTTATTACATTTTCTGGCCAATAATTATGGGATACTAATTAATAATACACTTGTATCCTATCAGTACTACAATTCTGAATGTGCATAATAGTACTATATGCCAAAATTAGGAAGAATTAAGCTGTCATGGGATTGGTGCTAAACTTAAGTTGTGCTTAGGGCTTCACCTCCCCATGAAAGCTCTCAAGCCCACTGCTGTCCTTCTTGCTGGGTGCCTGAAAGCAGAGACCTGCCAGCTGCCACTCCTACAGCAGTAGAAGGGAAATGTGATGCACCAGAGCAGCAGAGTGAGCTCAGTCAGGCATTCAAGATAAATCATAGGTACCCTTTGAAATGTTAATTATTAAAACTTAACTCTTAATGAATTGGAAGCATGATCCAAACGGTGGCCAAATGGTAGAACTTAGTAGTTAAGCTTATGGTTGAAAAGTTCTACTACCAGTTAAAATGAAATAGATAAGAAGTGAAGACAAATAAAAAGTATTATACTGGAAATCTTAATTGCAACTTACAAATAAATGTGCTTCTAGGATAGATGATTTGCAGTTGGTAATAGCATTAACAGCTGAAGGTAGTTGTATCAGAGATGGTACTGATTCACAGAAATGCATTGTATCTCTCAGGTGGCTTCTTAATACAACTATGGAGAACATGGGTGTAAATGCAATATAATACACATTTTAGTGGACATATGGGGATGATTGACAGTTGAGCTGGATGATCTTAGATCTTTTCCAACCATTATGATTTGTTGGTGTTCCAATGTCAAAGCTCTGAGACTTCAAGAGCTACAGAGCATAGCACTCTTTAGAGATTGAATGCAAGATATTTAATCTTAAAAATTCAGCAGGACATCTGGAAATGCATGGACTAGAAAAAGAAAAAATGTGAATTTCTTCACATTTGTGATGTGTAGAATCACGCTGAATACACTTTACTATTGTGTCTGTTCAACATGGTTCTCGTTGCCCTTATGTCCTTACGCATAAGGCCTGCAATTGGTAGGTCAAAACCTTGACTTGTTAGTAGCTGGGAGAATAGGGAATGGCGGTCTACCTTCCCTGTTCAGTGAGAAATAGCTGTATAATTGTTCCAAACACAATTCCACAGGAATTCCTTACTTAATGCTCTTGAATCATGATAGAGGGAAGAGTATGAATCGTAGCTAAATTCAGCTACAGTGAGGAAAACTAATGTATTAATTGTAATAGGAAAGATTAAAAATACTGACAGGCTCAGGCTCCTGATCTGTTCCTGTATTTTGCTGTTCTGCATGCTGAAGTGAAAGATGTTGGTGCTTCTTAATTTGACCTTGTGTAGTTAACCTGGAGGGGTTGTATTGTGTATTAAAGAGACTGCCAGCATGTGCACATCCTGAAAGAAAGAACAGAAGAGGCAGCTGGAAACTTAAAATTGTGGATAGGAAGAAATGAACTAAGAAACTAGAGAAATAGGGCTTTTTCTCCATGGTTCCTTCCAGTACTTGAGGGAAGCTTATAAGCTGGAAGGGAATGATGTTTTAAGCGGCTCGATAGTGGTGGGACCGGGGGGATGGTTTTAAACTAAGAGAGGGGAGATTTAGGTTAGATGTTATTAAGAACTGTTTTTACTGAGGAGGCAGTGAGCCACAGGCACAGGCTGCCCATAGAAGCTGTGGGTGCCCCATCCTTAGAGGTGCTCAGGGCCAGATTGGATGGGACCTAGGCAGCTGAGCTCGAGGGTGGCAGCCCTGACCATGGAAGGGAGTTGGAACTGGGTAGGTTTTAAGGACCCTTTCCACTGCAACCATTTTATGATAGTTCAGAAATAAACAAGAAAGCAGTTTCTGATCTACTGTTGGCTCTTTAACAAAGCACAAGGATAGAAGACAGGGTCTGAGTCAAAGACGGTGCAGAAACAAGTTTGTGTTTAGGTAAGTTTGGAACACAAAATGAATTTGAATGAATTTGATCGAGTATTAAATGTGGAGGTTGGTGGCCCTGCATGTGACAGGGGGGTTGGAGATTCATGATCTTTGAGGTCCCTTCCAACCCTGGCCATTCTGTGATTCTGTGAATTTTTGATAGCTTAAAGTTCATGATAGGTTTGCTGCAAAATTACAGGAATGATATCTACAGAAACCTGCACCAGGATAGCCAGTGATTTTTTGGGGAGTTTTGAGAGGCTGTTGAAGCAGGTCTTCCATTGCTCACAGCATTTGATGGAAGATGCAGCAGAACAAAAAACTGGTTGAAAGTTTGGTTTGATAATTTATGTTAGTGTTGTCTTTGTTTGGATATGCTTGGGGTCTTTGCTAATCAATTTCTGATAATAACATCTCAGACTTATTATAAAGCTTTCCTTGGTAAAATCAGTAACTTGCATTGTTTTTTTTTTCCCAAGTTCATTGGAAATAGAGTTTCTCTAAAAGGCTTATTATTGAATTCCTGTTTGGACTACTATATTTTATAAATATTCGGGTGTTCAGAAACAGATTTTCTGTTGTTTTTGGGAATTCAGCGTTTTGCTGAGAAAACACTATGGTACTAACATGGCAATTTTTAGTTCCCATTGGAAAAATAAAGGTTCTCCATGTCAGATGCTTTCTGCTCCGCTTCTGCATTTTCCTGCAAAACTGAGAATAAAGGAGGAAAACATAGAGCCAATAACTGCTTATTTTCCCTTATTTTTCACCACTTTTTATTCTCTGATACTTTTTTTTTTTTTTTTTGTAATACCTTAAGGTAGAAGAAATATTAATATATTAATATTTTGTAACTTAAAAGTTCCATTGCATTCTCTGCCTTCACGTGTTGTTTTGTTTTCTTCCTGTACATTACTTTACAGAGTAAGGTGAGCTTCAAAGAATGAGAACATGGAAAAGCCAGAGCCGTTCTACAGACTTCCAGTGTCAAAGCAGAAGACCAGTTCTGAGATTATAAATGAAGCCAGAAGTGTTCTACGAACGCTAAGAACTCAGAGGCCATTTACACCTGCAGAGGATCAAAGGAAACTTTTTGGATCTGGATCTTCACGGGCTCCTCAAAATAGACCTCCTTCAGTTTTTAGGTACTGTGACTTGAAGATTTTTCAAACATCCTTTAGCAGCATGATTTGAATCTGTAATTATGTTTCTGGTGATTTTTCTCCTGTGTTAATCTGTATTTCTAATCGCATCCTTTGCCTTTTTCTAATGATGCTTACTGTTGGTGTTAATCTGCATGTCCCAGAAGTTCCTGTGGATTAGAGCTACCAGAAGCAGTTGTTAGAATAGTTTTGTATGCAGAGAATAGTGTAAAAAATATGGTCTGTAACACACCTTTCTTTTTAAGACAATATTTTAAAAATTGAATAATCTTTATATTTTTCTCTAGAAACTGAGAAAGTGTGTTTATTTCATCATAAACTGTTTGTGTTTCAGCACTTCCTCAGATCTCTTAAATACAAAATTATAGTTCTTGAAATTAAAAAATGCTTACCTTTAAACAGAATTTTTAGTACTGAAGTATTTCTTTCACATCTATGTATGACTTTAGTACCTAACATGATTCACAGAATGCAATAGGTCTCTGTCTTTTTTACAGAAGAAAAAACTCTTGTACATTGGGCTTTGGATATGATCTTTAATATTTTCTCCCCTTCTTTCTCTCTCTTTTTTCTCTTTAAATCTGTCTCCCCACTCATTTTTTAACTCTCCTTGTATGACAATTATTTAATAGCTGTATGGAGGATATATCAGCTCTATTTGTAATGTTATGTGTGAGACATGCCAGAAATGATGCTAAACCATGTCTGAATTGTGATACAAGTCAGTCAGTGGCCATACCGTGTTCAGGCACTCTACGTCTTATGTTTGATGTTTCATAGTGTACCCTTACATAAGAACCTGAGAGTGACTTGGCTGTTCATTGATGATCAGGTAATAAGATAGCTCAGGCTGGCATCCATGCTTGTTCTGTATGTGCTACAGCAAGGAGAGTGCTCATGCCTGTACAAACCTGAGTTTTCTGCCCTGCAGCATTCTGCAGCTTATGTCAGATAGCTTGGATATATTGGAGAACTGTTACAGATATGTATGAAATAAACTGTACTGTGGCAAGCATGCATCTGCTTTATTAATTTATGATTAATTTCTTTATCCTAGTCTTCATACTTCCAGTTTTGATTTGGCTGAATCAAGACCTGCTTCTGGTGTTCGTCTCAGCCCATTGGATTATGTGAGTACTCTGGATGTAACTCTATGCAATGCTGACATAAAATATGTAAGAATTTATGCAGTGCAATGTAATTCTGGAGTTTGATATTGTTGAAATAGATTGGAGAGAAAAAAAGTCTGTCAGGATATTAGTCTGAGACTTAGAAAGTCATCTTTGTCATTTTTTAAAAAATGAAGCTGGAAATAATGTCAACTATACCAATATTACTGTATTGCATCAAAATTATAAGTGACATTAACAAGAATTAGAAGATGGAAACTTTAGTCAGCTTTCTCATTTAAGATTACTAAAATACAGAAGGTCACAAGCATCAATATGAGTCAACAGTGTGCCCTTGCTGAGTAGCATTCTGGTCTGCTTTAAGAAGGATGTTGCTGGCAGATTGAGGGAGGTGGTCCTTCCCTTCTGTTCAGCACTAGCAAGACTGCACCTGGAGTGCTTGGTCCAGTTCTAGGCTCCTCAGTAAAACAGTGGTACAGAGCCTCTGAAGAGTTGGTCCAGTTAAACCCACAGATATAACGAAGGGACTGAAGCACCTCTCCTATAAGAAAAGGCTGAGAGTGATGAAACAGTTCACTGTAGAGAAGGCTCAGCTGGCTTCCATCAATGTGTATAAATACCTGAAGGGTAGGGTGTAAAGTGGACAGAGCCAGGCTTTTCTCAGCCATGTTCAGTAGCACTGGTGCCAGGACAAGAGGCAGTGGGTACTAATTGTAACACAGAAGGATTCCTCTGAACATCAGAAAGCATTTCTGTGCTGGGCAGGTGACAGAGCGCTGGCAGAGATTGCCCAGAGAGGTAGTGGAGTCTCCTGCTTGGTAAGATTCAAAAGAAATATAGTATTGTCACAATTGTTTGTTCCATGTGCAGAAGAAGAAAGCGTGCTAAAACAATGAAGTATGCTTGCTGTATATATCATTTCTTAGGTGGTATTCTAAAAGTGATGTTTCATGGGAAAGTAGGAAAAAAATCCTCAACAATTTCCAAGAAATGTCATCTTAGTAATTTTGATAAATAGATTGTTTACATCAATAAGATTAAAAATACCATACCTGCTTGTAGAAGAAGTGTATTTAAATTCAGATTTAAACACTGGTATTAAATTTTTGTTTAGTTTGTGTGTGAGTGGGTGGAAAAAAGGAAGGCTTTTTGCATTGATCTTATCAGTAGTTAAGCTGTCTTTTTCATACACTGTAAATACAGAGCTTGTTGTAGTTGCGGTGGCTGTGGGGTCTCACCTCTTGGGCTCTCTTCACTTAAGCTCCAGAGGGTTAAACTGGAAAATTTCAAATGGATTCTTTATTGAAGGGAAAAAAAAAAAAAAAAAAGAAAACCCAGGTGTTGAATGGTAATATATTTATGTAAAGCATGAAGAAAATTTTAGATGTTTAGAGTGGTGTTCATATACTCTAAGATGCAAGATACTGACCTGAATAAAATGCAAACTTGCACGTTTCTGGATCTACATGACTTGTCACAGTGTGATAGGAAGTGGTATATGGGATAGGAACATGTTTGAAGTGTTTTGGAAATGCTACTTTAGCTCTCAAAAAGAAATCATAAAGAAGGGATTTGTCTCTAGAATTGCACACTGCAGATAATGTTAAACGAGTATTTCTGAGGGAAAGAATTTCAAGTTTTAGTTACTCTACTGAACAGCTTAGGTTAGCTGGTTAGTTTCTGGGTTTTTTTTGCATCCCCAAGTGTTTGCTTTTAAATGGCTTTCTGGGGTGATGATATTAGTAGAAGTGCTCCAGCTTTTTCAGTGCAATGTTATCTTTAGATTTTAGATGAGTTTTCTTCTTGAGTAAACCTGTGTAACTCTTACTATTCTATTCTGAATATACCTCTTTTCATGATTTTTTTTTATGTTTTGCTTAAACAACAAAAAAAAGAAATAGTGTTTTTATCAAAAATTTCTTTTATCTTTATGGCAGAAGCCAATACTAGTCATTTCATCTAAGGATGAAGATTCTTCTGTTTCCCTTCCAAAGCCTGCTGTGGATGCTGCAGAGATTAGGAAAATCAGCAACGCTAGGGCACAGTTATTTAGAAGAACTTCTCAGGGAGATGCCTTTCCTGCTAAAATGGCTCCACTGGATCACCGTAAGAATCTTACTTCCTGCAAATACAACTGCGTGATGTGTTTCGATATCGTATTAATTATCATGTTAAAGAGCCGTCCACTCCTTTCAGAGTAAATTTTTAAAAGTACTGAGTGGCTTAAAGCCAGTCCTGAAAATGATTTCCAAAAATGGTACTGGATTTCATTTCTGAAAATAAGTTGGAAGGCTCTCAGATGCCTCTTTTTTTCCTATAGGTTTTTAAGTAATTGAGGCTTTTTCCTGAAAGTTTTCTTCAGTGGGTTAAATGATGAGTAAATGCTGAAATATTTAAAGAGATAACGAGATGGCGTCTTCTAAGGAGATTCTTTGATGGATTCTTGAGCGTAAAAGGAAGAGTAAATAAGGGTAATAAGTCTTGACAGGTCTCCAGCTACATCATATTTAGTGTTAAGTTTCATTAGTGGAGACTTAATAAAGGTCACTAAACATGTTGCTTAAGTCATTTTCTGTCTGCAAGAAAATTACTTTTGCAATCTTGATTTCCTGCACACAAACTCATTATGGAATGTGCTAGAGCTGTGTCTTTAATGAAGACTCATTTACAAAAATGATAATTCTTCCATTGCCTGGGATTGTTACTTTATATGATAAATTGAATATCACTTTTAAAATCTTACTGCAAAATAAGTCTTATGCAAAAAGTATTAAATTTTACTGTGTTACTGTGTACCTCTTTTACAAGGTCCATTAGCCCTTATATATTGATGAAGAAGTTGAGAACCTAATGTAGCTATACCTCTTATTGCCTCCTTTGGTCATTCTGGTGTCCTGTAAATGTTTATGTAGCATTTGATTTCTTCCGTTTCTTTTCATAACGGGTAGAGACTGAGGTACAGGATTGCTAGTTACCTTTTACTTGCCTTCATAGTATTTAGATCCTGAAAAATAATCACTTCTTTTATGAGGTACAGTCCTCCTGTCTGTAAAGGGGAAATAAAAAAAAGTTGAAAGATTGAAAACATGAAGTAAAAATAAAGTTAAACCTTAAAGGAGTGATGTTAATAAAAATACTTTGAATGCTTTGCTGAAAATAGTCTCAAGTGCTCTCACTTTTCAAAGTGATGCGAGAAAATTTTGATACTATAACATGAGAAACAAGTAGTTCATTTTGAGCTCCCTCCTGTGTATTTATTGTGTAAGAACACTCCTACAAAATATATTTTCTTTGTCTGTTTCAGATGAAGAGAAGCTTGATTGTGAAGAACCAGCTATGATGAGTAGTCTTCACGGAACTAATGATAACTGCTTAGCAGAGCAAAGGGCATACACACCATTTAATGACAAAAGCAGGCAATTAATTTGTAATGAGCATAGTGGTAAACCGGAAAGGGAAGATGTTCTAAAAGGCACAGCAGGAAAACTTTTATTTCAGCTGAAAGGTGAAAGGTCAGTATTGTTTGAGTATGGTAACGTGCTATTTCCATACAACCTTTCTTTCTAGTCACTCTATTGTGTGAGTATCAAAATGTTTAGAATTGATGGAATTTTAAGGTAGCACTAAAACATTAAGACAAAACTTTGTTCACCTCACTAGACAAAATATTCTTAAGTTTTTATAGTCAAAAGACTGATTTGTCAAAAAATTGTAGATAGAGAGTTGCTTTATGTACAAAAACTTTATTTTTTTTTTTCATCATCATCATCTCAAAACTAACTCTTCTAGTAATTGCATTTAAAATATTGGAGTTTAAATTCGATTATTTTTTTCCTAGTTCAAGCCTGTTGTTTTAAGATACTACATGTTCTTGCCTCATCTGTGTTGATGAGTAGAGGTAAGATTTCAGTTCTGGCTTTGAGGATATATGTTCATACATAAAAAATAAGCTTAGACTCATTGGAAATGTGGGCAGATTTTTATATTTTGTGAGCTTTGAATTTTTTTTTTAATCTTTTTTTTTTCTGTGATCAAGCAGCTGTAACAGATTAATGAGATTTGTGTGCATTTAGTCTGATTTTATTGAACCTAGATTATATCCATTCTGCAATTCAGAAGTCTTTTTTTTTTCTTTCTTTAATTCAGATCTGAGCTCTTGCACAGGGTTGAACATTGCACTTTATGATCAGTAGATGTATCGATTGCTGCAATAGTAGCTGGGCAGACAGCTGTGAATAATATTGACAGATCTAACAATCTCTAAAGTAAAGAATAAATAACACTTAAACTTTGTAACACGTCCCATAACACATCCCATAAACAATTGTTCACTGTTTAAAATATATGTTTACCAGTAAATATCTTCTTTCTAGCTCATTATTAGGCTTATGAAGAAATTATTTTTCTGGATATTCTAATGCATCTTCTATATTAAGGAGAATTTTCTTAAAGTTCTAAAAGAAAAAGCCTTTCATTAACTTACTTGATGATGATATCAAATACTTTAGAACGTGTTGTCTGCTGAAGGTGTTTTAGGAACTGATGTGTAACAGAGCTATCATAATGCTCTTATTTTATATTAAATTGAAAGCAAAATTAAAAAAAAAATAAAAATTCTGAAAGAAGGAGCAAACAAGAAATTTCATGATTGTAAAGGGAGGGAGAAGGATCAAAGCTCAGAGATGGAAAAACCATGAGTGAATAAATGTAAAACTCAAAGAAAGCTTTGGTGTGAAATCATTTTCTCTCATTAAGATCAGTGACCCGAAGAACTTTCTAGCTAAAGACTGTATGAATTATCACACTACATAAGTTACTGTAATTTGACTTTTACTTAGTAAAACTGTGGCATGAAGTAATTTGGTACAGCAGTTGAAACAGGTAGTTACTTAATGGTGTCCAAGCATCTCTAATAAGAAAAGGTCATTTGCTACTTTTACAAACTGGAGAGAATGACCTTTCTTCTGAGTCTTAATTTTAAATCTTGAATGTCTGCTTAAATAGGTAACTTAGGGCTCATTGTGCATTCCTTCTATCTGTTCATAAGGTATGCACTTGTTTTTATAAGCTTGAGAGCTCCACACGTTTTTGGTTTGGATTTTTTGCTATTTGTGCTTTTCACAGTTACCCATTTCGTAGGGCATTGTGTGTCATAATCACTGTTTTCCAGTAACTTGTAGCACAGAACGTTGTGATTTTTACTTTGAAAATAGTTTAAGAGAATTATTGACTTCTGTTTTGAAGTATTTTTGTGAGTTGGCAAAAAAGGCCTGTTGCTGACAAGTTTGCTTATTGCAACATCCAGTCTTATGGCCACTTTCAGTTCAAATTCTCAGTGTAAGAGAATTTTGAGAACACAGAAAAAAATAGAAAGAGGAAAATGCTGTTTTCAGTTCTTCAAATATCCTTATGCGCATTTGAAGGATAGGTTATCAGTGTTCGTTGTTCATAAGCTCCACTTGCTTAATTTCTTTATGACTTGTTATGTAATTTTCTCACATAATTATAGTTAGGACGCTAATGATTCTAACCTTAACAAGTGGACTTCTAATGCTTCTACCTTGTCATGTATTGTGTTCAAACTAGGGAGAATAATACTAAAGGTAGTTGAATCTAAAACATTACTTTAACTACATAGATATCAAATACAGAAAAATGTTTTCGAATCCTGTTCTAAGATTTTTCCAAATCTGTTTTCTTCAAAACAGAAGAATATCGTAACATTCTTCTATCTTTTCTGTGTTGAACACAGGGTCTGTGTTTTGGGTGTGCATGCTATCTGTACTTGAGAAGATAATTTTTGCCAATGCAGTCTAAGAGATCTGCCTGTGCAGCTTATACCCCTGTGCTGGAGGTCACTAAGAGTATTTAGGAACCCATATGGTTTTGAATACCAGAATACCTGCAATACTACAGTGTGCATGAAAATAATACCATGTGCTTTTCCTTTAGTAAAGTACAGATATCCCTCAGGCTGTTTTCCCAACTATATTAGCCCAAGCAGTTCACGCTGTTGTATGATGGATTGGCTCTAGGTAATGTTAGCTGCTCTCATACATTTGAAGTCATTACTAAGACTTACGCCAATAAACGCATTAGTTCAGTACTCACAGGATACTACATGAGCCAGGCAGACTTTGATCTATATCCTTTTCTCAGTTCAGAGATATCATTCTTCATCTGACAGAGCAGTTGAAAGCTATTGCAAATCTGTCCTTCAGTATATTTCCTGGAGTTTCTTCTGGATAAAAATTGTATTGACAAGGTTCCGTTATCATAGAGGGATCATTGCAATAGAGTTTTGGTGTTCCTTCTCAATAGAACATTATATCTACGAGATGATAGCTGTGATTAAATTACAGCTATTTCTGTGTCATACATACTTAAATCATCTTGTACGAAGTTAAATGATATATTGCACGTTATATTCAGGAGCAGACCGAACTTACAGAAATGTGAAAACTTTAATATGGGTGACTTTAATGTCATCCTTCCTTTTAAGCAGTTGTGTAAGCCACAATTCTATATCCTAGTGATTTACAAACCCTTGCAGGAATTAAGCATGAGGAAATACAGGAAAAGGTATCTGAGACTCCTCATTAGGCTTTGCCTGCTTCTCCTATATATGTACCAAAATATTTTTTCTAATAGTTGTTTATCTGTTAATAATGAAACTGTAAAGCATGCATAAATAGTATGGCAGATCCCTTTTATTAGTGCTATTACATTTATTTCAAAGGGAACAAGCACGAAGTGCTTTGTTCAAGCAAGAGGGTTGTTCACTTTCCATCTCAAATTCTTTTGTCCCAAGGGCTGGTGGAAAGAAGCAGCAGCACTGATGAAGTCACCTTATAAAGGGGCTTTAAACAAACAACAATGACAAATGAGAAACCTCAAGACTTCTTAGGGAACAGTTATTTGCCATTTAGTTTACAGTAATTTTTTTTTTAATAACCATCTAGTTATAATAGAAAAGGTATATTAATTTAAGCAGATCTGAATGTTTTGATGTGTTGCCTCTGGAAAGTAAGGAGGAACTTCTGACAATCATAAGGAAGCTGAGTTTTGTTTATATCTTTATCCAGGCATTGTGTCTTGCCATCTATTGTGATTGCTACAGAGATGAAACTTATAAAATGCTTTCTGCATTCAAATATTTCAATGCAAGTGTCACTGGGAATGGCGGATTTGCTGACCAACTGTTTCCATCTTGAGAAAAGACGAATATTTTTTTTCCTCCTCCTCCAATTTCTCAATATTCTGAAAGCTTAGATGACATTTCAGGGCTCCTTAGAAACACAGACGCCTTCGGCGAGGAAGAGCTTGGTGGCAAACAGTTTACTTCCAAGTGGCCTGACCTGTGCTTCTATTAATTAAAGATTTCTATAAACATCTACAAAAGGATTAGATGGTGCTGTAAGGACGATGTAGTATGCTTTATTTTCTATCAGCATCACTGTCCTTAGTGAGTATGTATTTGACACAGTCCTAAAGTGTTCAACAACTTCTTCTACATGATTAGTTTCTCATTTTTTGTGCTTTTTAGAATTCTTGTAAGCTTTAGTAGAAAAACAAACAAACTTGTAGACAAATGAATTTTGGAAGTAATTTCTATTTGATAACTTGAACTGGCTTTAAAATATTCTTTTCTTTTGTCCTCAAGGAAGAGGAATTCTAAGGAGGAGATAGAATGGATGCTTCTTTCAGGAAAGAAATCTGTTTTGCTCTGTTGGAAGTTTTTGAATTAACGGCGTTGTATGAATATCAGATTGTGGTATAGTTTAGCTGATATTGCTGCGGATTATCTAGTCTTCCTTTAGGATTTGTCTTTTCTCATTATGTCTGTCCTCAACTTTTTGTGTTCTTATGAAGACATGGAAACAGGAAACCACTCTACTCCTAGACAGTCTTTTTCTAGTTGTGCTTCAGTTCCATTGGCTGTTAAGATCATTTAAGAAGGAAATAATAAAGTGGTGCAAAAATTTTCACAGGAATTTCTCAAGTGTTTGACAAAGAAAGTGTAATGCTTCCTCCTTCAAGAAGGTGTCTGTTTTTATATAGCTTTAGAAGATGTTGAGAGAAAATTGAAAATGAAAAACTCTTTTTTTCAGAGTAGAAATTGTATAGACTGCTGAAGAAAAGAGCACGAAGCAGCAGTTACCTGTGATATTGACTCATGAACAAGTGGAGCTGAGGCTTGTTTTTACTGCCTACTGCAGAAGGAGTCTTTCCACTCTAGCCCTTAAATTTGGAGTAAGGTCTCCACATTTGGGAAACCTAGGTCTTGAGAGCCCTTATTACTAATTGAAATTGAGTTGCCAGAGTGGAAGGGTGTGCCATGGAAGGAGTCAAGAAGGAAGAGCAATTCATAGTCTAGGTAAGGTTTTAATAGTAATGAATTTAGATTGACATTTTCTTTAGAATAAGACTGCTTATGCAAGATTCAAGTAAGATAGATGAAGATGCCATACTTTTTGGACTGAAATATATTTAGGCTTTTATTTTAGGTGTT